ATCTATCGAACATCACTGTTTTGAACTTAGAAATCTATCTTTGATATTGTTTTGTCGAGTTCTTTTTTTTGGTAGAAAAATCAGATGATCAAAGAATATTTGTGTGTTTTTGATGAATATGTGATTTGAAGTGGAAAATTTAGTTTCAATTTATTATTGATGAGAGGAGTTTTGATTGGTGTATGTTAGCTAGACATGGCACCTCTCATTTTTGAGAATTAAACAGTGATGATTTGAAAAATTCTAATGAAAGATGATTCGTTGTTTTGATTTGGTACTGGTAATCATGAGAGATTCTAGCCATGGGTTTATCTAGTTGAAATATTCCGATGCATTGGAAAGCTTCTGCTTGAGCCTTTGAATTAAATCGTTTCAATTTTTTCATTTTTTTCCGGGCAGGGCCAAGAAATCTTCATAAGTTACTGCTTGATTTCCGCATCTATGATTTCATGAGCCACCACTCACAGCGGGTTCTTATGTGACAAAACAGCATGATTTGAGTTTCGCAATTTTGCTCACATTTCAACTATTATTTACGGTTGTTTGTTCGTTGAAAGAATCTTTTTTTCTGTTTTTTTTTGGAGAGATGCTTTATGACGAAAATCTTAATTGTAGGCAGCCCTTGTGTTGGGCAGAAAGATTCGGTGATGTTCGAACCACCTACAGCCGGTGGCGATCAAGTTGTCATTGATCTACCAACTGATAATGTGGGTTTTATTTTTGTGAACTTGATAGTATCGTCTACTTGTCGAATATCACCTCAGAGTGACCGTATAAGCTAGTTAATTGAAAGCATCCTTGAAATATGAAGCTCATTCGCCGATATAGTGATGAGGTTGTTGGGATGAAAGACGGAAAATTTCGATTGAAATATTCTTATTGAGTTGCCATTTTTATTGAAGTTTCATGAACAGGGCAATATTCAAATGTAATATCCGAACAACTAGATATCATATAACCAAATGTTATCATATTTTCGTTTGCAGTTCAGTGATTCCACCGAATCAGTCAAGTTTTTGAAATATACATAAATGAAATTTCAACGTTTCCCACCGAGTAACCAGAAAAATGCATCGAGAAGTGTGAAATTCAGGAAAAGTATCACCATAAGTTGAGATCGAAGCGAGAGCAGAGAACAATCATATCGAAAATTTCAGTCTAACACACCAGTACCGATCCCAGAAGGCGGCTTCGCATTACTCAGTCATACGTCGTCAAACACAGCATCGTCACTAACTAGTCCGATTACAGCGCTGACGTTTGACCCCTATGAAGAACTGTTGTGGTCGGGCAATAGTGCGGTCAGTTATCTTCTCGTTTCATTTCAATATTTCTATGTTTTTCGACTTCTCACAAACGATTCGTTGTTTCTTCTCCTTTTCAAAAAATGTGCAAGCAGCTCGAATGAATACCAGAATTTTATTGATGTGATTTGCTCATTTCGAGACCGAATTCGCTTTCAAACGAAACCCATGACACTAGAATTAAAATAACTCTAGTTGTTGAAAATTATGTGATCTTAGAAGTTTTTATTTTATGTGAAATGGAGCTTTTAAAAAGCAGAAAATGATTCTTCAGAATATAAACGATATAATGTAGAATAAGAATGATAGAATAAATTCGTCATTTATTTATTCTGTTCAAGTGTTGGGGTACTTATGGTAGGAAAAATTTCAGGGTAGAATCGTGTCGTTCTATAGTACTCAACTTGATAAATACACAGCGTTTGTATCATCAGCACAATCTGACGTAAGATCTCTGCTAGTCACCGAATCGATGGTTTTGTCACTAACCGCACAACGGCTGAAAGCGAATCGACGACAAGGAATTTCGCTTTTTTCACATTCGTTCGTTTTTCTCACTTTATTGTTTGTTTGTGTTTCTTTCATCTTTAGCTCCAGATTTGTTCAATTTTTGATTAATTACAATTTTAGCTATCGTAATGATCAGTTCAAAAAAAAATCTCAGGTTTTCCATATTAAGGAAAATCATCCAATGTGATTGGTTCAACTGGATTTTCGGTTCTTAGTCGGTTAAGTTTTTGAAGATTTGAATGAGGCAATTGAATTTTCTGTCATATCGGTTT